CCAGTGGAAATTGTTAAGGATGCAGAGTCGGATCTAGATTTTGTCAAGAAGATGGGCTGGGCATTCCAACAAGCATGTGACGTGCACCAACAGCTCCTCCTCGGCGGAGGGAGCGGTGGTAACATGCTCTGCTTTAGATGCGGTGGACTGGACTCTTGTGTGGTTGGACCGACGGAGGAAGAGGACGGGAGTGCGCATGCTTGCACGGCGGCGACCTCGATTTTCGGCGGGCGTCGGCTCCACCGCCGCAGGCATGGCCTCCACCAACAAGAGAGACAGAGGCGTGGCGAAGGTGTGCGCAGGCAGAAGCGAAGGTCTAGCGCGATGACGGGAGGGGAAGAGAGGTCCCTGCGGCGTTCCCTTCGCAGCTGGGCTGCTCGCCGGAAGGGCTCTCCATCTCTAGACCAGAACGACGAAAACAGAGCGAGAGAGAACAGCAGTTCTGCCGTGCGCGGGCGCGGATCCACCGTGGTTGCTTTGAGATTCGCAATACCTTTTTTCTTTATCGCTTTTAAATTTTTTTTGCCTTGTTTCAGAGTGTTATTCCCCCGTTCACTTTTGTAAAACCGTTTAGACATTTAAGATAACACCCGAAACAATTCGATTTCAACTGTCTAAAACGTCTTATAAAAGTAAACAGACGGAGTAACATTAGATTTGTTTTCTCTCGCTCCATAGTGAATGTTGGTGTTCGTATCGTTGTGTTATCCAAAATAATTGTATACTTACACATTGAAACAAGAAAAAGAAAACTAACGAAACATTTTGAAACAAGATAAATGTTGACAGCAACCATAAAAGGTAGCATGAATTTTAAAGCAATCACGGACGATGGATGCATACACGGAATATCATTTGCATTGTGGACAAACCACTCTTAGAACAGAGTGCATTCTGCAACCACTGAAATTGTCTCGTGAGCGCAATTTCGGCATTGTACATTAAAAATGTTGATTTACGACCAAAGACTCAAAGAGCAGACAGATAATAATGTCAAAATAAAAATTCTGTTTCTGTGGTGTTTAGCCAGAAAACGTCGGTCTGTTTTCACAGGAAAATTTTCCAGTGACTAACGATGATCCTGACTCCCTACTACTCCCACCATCTGTCTATCATCAACATCAGTTGCCAATCCCACGACTAATGTTACCAAATTGTTGTGATTTTAATAAGCCAGACAGTTGTTGCGACCCTGGCAATAAAACAAAAAATAAAATCCAAGCTAGTAATCCCTCTGGTGAGGAGGGAACCAACAAATCAACAGTATTCCATGTTGGACCTAAGCTGTAACAATTTTCTGCTCCGATTAAGGCTGCTTCGCTAATCAAAAAATGAACAGATCACAAGAACTGAGAAGAAGACATAATCTTTGGAGCAAGACGACACAAAGAGGAACTAGAAATCAGAGGCCAAGAGGCTGCCCCCAGCAAATGAAACGCCCGGCTCCGTTGATCAACGCGACCAGAGCTTGTGATGACTATGATGCCCTACAACCAAAGGTAAGGAGTGCAGACATCAGTTTAACTGGCTCCTAGATATATGCACTTCAAGATCCCAAGTATTCACAACAGGCAAATATGGGTCCTTTATCAACTAATATTGCTTAAGTTAAAAGATGAATTAAAGTGGCTATATCATAACCATCTCTAAACCAAGAGAAATTCCCATTTCCTTGATGCTACAGATACATAGATGATGAAAGCACCTGATCAAGCCAAAAAAGCTCACAAAAGTACACATGGCAGAAAAGCTAAGAGGAACTCAAATAGCAAGTTAAGTCAGCCATGCACTGTGAGGCAGCATTAGAGCTTGACGTGTCTTCTACCTTTCAATCAATTGAATTCCAGTTAACACATCATGGGGATTCAGAGCTGATGACAATAGAGCAGGTGATGAAATAACTCTGTGCGCTGTATATGCATTTCCTGCTTCATTAGATAAGCTACGCCAGTGATGGGCGGATGAATATACCTCATAGAACTAATTATGCTACTTCAGTGTAGAAGCATAGCATGTATACTCGGAAGTTTATTTACTTGCAGTTAGGACATCATTATAGAATCTAGCGCCATTCACCTTCAGTGTATAAACACCATTCAGTAAAATGGTAGAAATGTAATATCCTGGAAGTATATTTCCCAACTGATAACAAATACTCCCAGTACTTAAGATGTAACCACTATATAGTTGGACGTATATAGAAGCTTCCATTTCCTTGATGTTACAGATACATAGACCACGAAACCATCTGAATTGGTCAAGCTAAAAGCTCACAAAAAGTACACATGGCAGAAAAGCTAAGAACTAAAAAGGTGGATCTGATATCAAGCTAAGTTAGCCTTAGCCATGCACTACCAGGTCAGCTTCTACTACCTTTCAACCAATTGAATTCCAGTCAACATGTCATGGGGATTTAGAGTTCGATGACTATAAACAGGTGATAAAATAGATTTCTTTGTTGTGTGTGAATTTCCTGCTACAGCCGGGTTAGATAAGCTACATCAGTCATGGGACTGATGAATATACCTAATTGATATAATTCAGCGACTTCTGTGTAGAACCATAGGCACTCTACATTCTACAACACGCTTCCTAAGTTAGATTTAGAATCAGAAACCACACCTCCACCAAGTGTTCCAAGGAATTTTCTAGGCATTACTTCAAACATCTCACACAAAAATTTACAAGGGAATTTTCACATATAGTGCAAAACACATTCTAGATGAACTTCTTGTAATTTGTTAGGCACGGCTGCATTTCCCAAATCAAAATATAGCATAAAGCCATGAAGTATAGGCAAAAGCCATAACAGCCAGTCTGCAACTTTTATCGAACTGGACATCAAAAACAGGGCAGCTGCAACAGTTACAACAGACTTAGACCTTACATTTCAGTAAAATGTCAAAACAATCAGTAGTCGTAAAATTGAACGATCACAGGAAATCTTCACTTATTCCTATTAAGTCAAGACATCACAGATTACTGCTCCGGAATGAGTAACAACTTCTTGTATTGGAACGAGGGTGCTAAAATCAATCTAAAATTTATAAGAGATTTTTTCATATATAGTGCAAAATGCATTCTAGACAAACTTCTTGAAAATAGTAAAGCATGTCTTGATAGCTGCATTTCCCAAATCTAAATATAGCATAAAGTATAGCCAAAAGACCTATCATACGAACAGTACCTAAATGAAATCTGCTTAAACTTTTATCGAACTGGGCCTCAAAATCAAGATAGCTGCAACAGTTACAACAGCTTGCAGTATCATCGGTCGTGGGAATCACATTTAGAGAGTCCTTCCAACGTGTATTACAGGCATATCTATATTCAACATTCAAAGCATCACGCAACATCAACTGATTTGAATTAGGCCTTACATTTCAATAAAACAATCAGTAGTAAAATTGAACGATCCCAGGAAATTCTTCACTTATTCCCATTAATTCAAGTTGCTACAGACCACTACAGCATTTCTATTAAAAAGGAGGGCGCCAACCCTTCCGAGGCATTGCGTCGAACACCTGACGCGCGGGCAGGCAAAAGCAAACAAATCGAAGCATCACCGGGGGTGGGAACTAACCGGAGGCGACTACTGGCCCGCGCCCTCCGGCGCGGCGGCGGCCGGCTTGGGCGGCGGGGCGTGCGAGACGACGAGCGGGGGCCTGAGGGCGCGGCGCTGCTCGTCGGCCTGCTTCCGCGCGTTGTACATCTCCTCGGTCTCGACGACGACGAGGCGCTTGACCTGGGTGAGCATCCCGAGGAGGGAGGGCGTGGTGCGGTGCTCGACGGTGCGGTGGCAGCGGCGGAGGCGCATGGCCTCCAGGGTGCGGCGGTGGAGCTTGCGCGTCCCGGGGAGCCCGCGCACCAGCGTGATGTACAGCTTCGGGCTCCACGCCACCGGCACCCGCGACTTGAACGCGTTGAACGCGCTCCCGCTCATCTCCCCTCTGGCGGCTCTGCTCCTCCGTGTGGTGCGATCTGCTCCGGCGGCCGGAACCCTAGACCTCTGTTGCCTTTTGCCGGAGTGGGGAGAGTTGGGCTGGTCAGCTCGGAGATCTATCGAGAAATGGGCTATAAGAAGGCCGACTAAAGTAAAGTGGAAATGTTCGGCTAAGTGGGCCGGCCGCAGATTGACCTTCTAACAGCCCATCTGCTAAGTGGAAATGTTCGGCAAATGAGCGGCACCTACAACCCCAATACATTTTCTCCAAAACAAAACCCCCAATATACTAGTATCAACCCAGCAGATTAATCTTTCTCATAATGACTTATCCGGTGCCGTGCCTGAATTCTTTGAGCGATTTGATATGCTGAAGCAACTTGATCTGTCTTACAATAACTTGGAAGGGTCTGTTCCTACTAGTGGGATCTTTGAGAAATATGCTGCAGTAGTTCTGGGTGGCAACAAGGGACTCTGTTTAAATTCCTCCAAGTTGATAAAAATAAGAAATTCCTTCAGGCCAGCATTACCAGTTTGTCCTCGCATCTCAGCTTTAGTGACTAAATCAAAACACCATCTGTCATTCCTGGCGACCTCGCTGCTAATTGTACTACCAACACTTAGTATTGGTTCCCTGGTGTTGTTATGGTTTCTGCTCACTCTTTGGAAGAAAGGGTTGTTTTCGTCTTCACGATGGGATCTTGTGTCCAAGGTGTTTCCTAATAGAAGAGAAGTGCATACAGCCCCGTGCCATGATGAGAAGAAGCTGAAGAGAGTGTCATACCAGGACATTCTTAAAGCTACCAACTAGTTTTCTTCGGTCCATACAATCAGCACAACCTATACTGGTTTAGTTTATGTTGGTAGGTTCAAATCCGACAAGAGCCTAGTTGCCATCAAAGTATTCAACTTGGGTGAACCTGGTGGATATGATAGTTACCTTATTGAGTGTGAAGTGCTACGAAGCACCCGCCATAGAAATATAATGTGACCTGTGACCCTATGCTCAACACTGGATTCACAAAACCATGAGTTCAAAGCATTAATCTTCGAGTTCATGGTTAATGGCAGCCTAGAGAAATGGTTGCATTCTGACCAATACAATGGAATCGCAGATAAAGGGCTAAGCTTTGCCCAGAGGATATGCATAGCAGCAGATGTGGCTTCTGCTCTTGATTATGCCCACAACGAACTGACGCCTCCTCTGATCCATTGTGATTTGAAGCCAAACAATGTCCTTTTGGATGATGACATGACTGCGCGGCTCAGTGACTTTGGCTCAGCGAAGTTTCTATCACCAAGTCTGCTAATTCCTAAAAGCCTGGATGATGTTGGAGGGACAATTGGATATGTGGCACCTGGTGAGTTTTACCTTTTCCGTTTCCACTTAATTATAGTTTGTATCGTATGTGTGTGTATAATCTAAACACATTACATCTTCACAGAGTATGGAATGGGTTGCGAGATCTCCGTAGCCGGTGATGTGTATAGTTTTGGAGTGCTTCTACTGGAATTGCTTACTGGAAAACGACCTACTGATGATATGTTTGTGGATGGACTTAGCCTTTGTAAGTTTTGTGAATCTATGTTCCCAGACAGAGTTTCTGAGATTCTTGATCCTCGTATGGCACATGAGGAGCATCAAGGGTGCACAGAAGGATGGATTCAGAGATATATTGTCCCCTTGGTTGCCCTTGGGCTGTCATGTACCGTGGAATCTCCAAAGGATAGGCCCGGAATGAAAGATGTTTGTGCAAAACTTTCTGATATTAGAGCCTCTTTTCTTTAACCGTCATGATGATTAATGAATATATCAATTATGTTAGAGCATACTGATTCATTGTATTAAGAATGTGTTTTTTTACTGGTACATCGCATATTGTACCCAATATTTTTGACAATCTGAAACGAACTGTGGAGACAGAGATGTGATTTGCAGTTCGTCATAGTAGGGTATTGGAAATATCAACCATTCTTTGTTCTAGATTTGTTGATTATTTTTTATTTTGATATTGACGTGTATGTATTGTCAAATTCTTGCACTAATTTATTTGCAAAGGGTGTATGTAAAGGTGTTTTTCTGATGAAATGATATGTTTAATTTACAGCCTGATGGGTAATATTCGAAGGATATGTCTTAAGGCATTGCATCCTTCATCAGTAGCCAATTATAAAGTAAAGAAAGATATTCATATGACATAACGAACGATCCTCTTTTGCTCTCAAACTGTTATCTCCTTGCATGAATGAGGTTGCATATGCTTGAGTTGTCCACGGCCCATTATTGTTAAATATTGAAAGGAATGAAATTCCTGAATAAGTTTTTTAGTCAGGAGAGGAACACTAAAGAGGCCCATGATGGTGTTACTTGGAAGGGATGAAATTACTGAATAGGTAGACAAGTATGGGCAAGACAAATAAAACTTTTTTTTAGGTGGAGATGACAACAAAGACTGTTGACAAAAAAAAGATAGCAACATAAACTAATACTGTATGATCCATCATTGCACTGCCAAGGCATTCATTTAAGTCAATCTTGAGTCTCCATGACATTGTTCTTCGGTAGGCGAAGTGTGAGTGTGTGCACTTGTACTCGCTGTTTTTTCCAAAACCATATGAAATGACCTTTTTCCT